GCTCCCCCCGCCGCCCCTTACAAGGTGCCACCCCAAGCATGTGCTTGGGTGCCTGGTGCCGGCCCTGTATAGAAGGAGCTGGATTGGGCTCTTAATTGGGGCTAATAGCAAAGCAGCAGAAGCAACAACTGATTGAGGCTGCCCAGTGATTTACGAGTAGCACAAACACTCCAACTAGAACTCAGCCGTCAAACTGGAAAATCAGAACAAACATTTGATTCGGTTCCAAAAATGTTCAGAATATATGTCAGCAAATCGGAAACGTCTAGTCAGCTTCAAAAAAGAGGGACTGTCTCATCCCTTCCTGTTTCAGAGGAGGGATTTAACGCCATATGTCCTACCTCCCAGCTGAGTGCCTTAATCACCTGGCTATTGAGTCATTCTCACTCTCTCTTTGACCCAATGGCTAGTTGTCTATTCGTACAAAGTGGAACAGCTTCAGCAGGAGAATTGAGAGAACCCCCACCCCAGAACAGCTTAGAGGCTGGCGGTTAGGATGCTCATATAGCAGGGGGCAGATCTGAGTTCAAGTCCCTGCTAAGGATTCAAACTGGAGTCTCCTACACTCAAGTAAGTGCCCTAATTATTGGGCTAAATGTTATAAATGGGGGCGGGGGGGAGAGCAAAGGTTTGTGCATGTACCACAAACACACTGTTTTCTGGAGCTGGCCCTGAAAACCATTTTCCCAGTTGAAATTAATTGGGTCAAATTTGCAAATAGTTTTGGGTCGACTGAAACTGCATTTATTTTTGGCAAATAAACTATTTGTCTGAAAACTTTTGCCCAGCTGTGACTCCAATTTATGTATCACCTATTGTACATTCTGTGCACTGAAGTAAAGAGGAATTTATATTGCTAAGAGTCAAACGCAAGTCCCAGCTTCTCGCATGTATTGCACAAAACATTAATAACACTTCAAAGGCTGTTTATATTTTACTAGCACACCATAAACCTCTGCTATAGGGTCAGATGACAATTTAGGGCTCGATTGAAAGCCTGCTGAAGTCAGTAGAAAGAGTCTCATCGATTTCAATGGACGTTGGCCCTTTGTGGGTCCAGAAAAAGATGCTTCTGGGCTCTACAAACTCCTTTACGTCTAGTGAGAAAGAAAAAATGGAAAGCTTCACTTTCACGTGTATTTAATCTTAGGCATAAATCAAAATAGTAACCTTGCTCTGATTATATTTAATGCAAACAAAGCCAGCCAGTCAGATTTCATGTCTCTTTCTCAGCGAGTGGTTTGCCTCTGTGGTATACTCTTCGACTGTATGAATGAGTACAATTTCCTAAAGCCAAACAACTTGGGAAAATTAGAACAATGGTCAGACTTTGCGGAAGGGTTTTTAGAATTATTTCCATTGGTTTGAACAAATTCTGACTCAAAGAAAAAGGGAGATTTGTATCAAAACCAATATTACTTTTAAAAATCTAAATTGTTTAACCGAAAATCTCATTAGAAATGAGAGCTGGAGAAATTTGATTGCCATAGCTTTCAACACTAACAGGTATTGCTCCATTAGGTTCACTTTGCTAAGTGAAGCTTTTAAGTCCCAGCTAATCAGAGAGATGGTATTGAAAACATAATTAAAAAACTTTCAGGAGGCCCCAAGGGATTTCCTAGTATTGTTTGCTTGAAGATTCTATATACTCTTCTTGGGCAAAAATAAAATAATTGAAGCACTATCTGGAATGATTAACAATAAAGCTTTGCTATTAAGCTCTTTACTGATCCTGCAGCCTGCATGAAGTGCTTTATTTCATCAGTCATAGTTTAGGGAGGGTAAAATAGAAAGGAGCGTGGCTAAGGTGCTATACAGCATCTACATCTGGGCTTCTAATGAAAAAATGGAAATTGAAAATGTTCCATTAAAAATGTCAGTTTTCAAAAGCCAGGAGTTTTCCTGAGAGCATTTTTTGACAATCAAACTTTTTTTGCTTTTGGGGAAGAAATTGTGTGTGATGTTTTGGAATTTTTTAAAAACATGTCTTACAAAAAATAATTGGCATTTTTTGACCAGCTCTAATAAGTATTAACCATGGAGCCACCAAGGGTATTGTCGACATGGCACCTGGGAGCATGCCTCTCAGTAAGGTAGACAGACATGCACTAGCGCACTAAAAGTAGCAGTAGGGTGACCAGATGTCCTGATTTTATAGGGACAGTCCCGATTTTTGGGTGTTTTTCTTATATAGGCTCCTATTACCCCCTACCCTCTGTCCCGATTTTTCACATTTGCTGTCTGGTCACCCTAAGTAGCAGTAAGGATGTTGTGGCGTGGGTGGCCACAAATTCAAGCCTGCCTGACCCCCTGGGTCCATGCTCAGGCTGCTAGCCTGTGCTACCAGCGATACTGCAACATCCACACTATTTTTAGCGAGCTAGTGCAAGTCTGTCTACCTCTACTGAGAGGCATGCTCCCAGGTGCTATGTCGACAATACCCTTGGTGGCTCCATGG